AAACACAATCACACACAAAAAAATCATACTTTGATTGACTAAAATAAAACTCAAGATTTCTTTTGAAATACTTTTTTAGATCTTGCAGAGTGAGATCCTTTGCCTTCTTCAATATACGACTATTTTTTTTTTTAATATTTTAGATTTCTGATCAGGGTGTAGTAGCCTTGAGTGAGAGATGCCCAACTCTTAGAGAGCTTCATGTGAGCAGCTGCTATGGAGTAACAGACAAGAGTGTCACTGCATTGGCAAAGCATTCCGGTGACTTAACAGAGTTAGATGTCAGCTGGTGCTTCTCTGTCACTGATCAGAGTGTTAACAAATTTCTGTCACCAAGATGCAAGCTGAAGCTTCTAAGGATAAAGGGTTGTGCTGTAAGTACCTCCATGGTCTCGAGCTTGTTCAGAATAGCATCTTTTCTGTTTGCTTGGGAGCTAAAACAGAGTACCCAGAGGCTTCTAAACAGAAAGAAGGAATTATTGAGTAGTCTATCTAGTAATTAACACTCATCATCAGCAAACACAGAAAGAACACATTTTTGTCCATCAATTAACTAGCTGGCACATGCAGAATGAAATCCTGTCATGTAAGTCCGTAAGTAGCCTTTGACTGGAATGGAAGATTCTGTTAAGGTCCATAAGTGGCAGCTCACGGATTAAGATTTTTGTTGTCAAATTGCCAGTTGATGGCAATCATTAATAATCAGTGGTGATCACTTTTAATTGATGATAATGACAGAAATGCATTGGCTGGAATCAGCTCTTAAAAGAAATATTGTGGTTAAATGATCAGCAACCTTAACTTCAAGGCCATCAAAACACTATAGGCTGGTTTTCACTAGCGACGGAATCATAGTTGGAGTCATAATCAGAAATGTAGAGCAATACGATCTAGTGAAAATCAAATCGACGGAGTCGGAAGCAGAACACTCATTGCGCTCTCAACTCCGTCCCATATGATCTAGTGAAAACTACATTGTTGGAGTTGGAAGCAGAAGTGCTTGATTCCGGCCTTGTGATTGGTTGATTCTTCCGCTTCTGCTCCTGACTCCGACAATCTAGTTTTCACTAGAACATAAGCGACAGAGTCGTAAACAGGATCGAATGAAATGGAAATGTTCTAATTCTTC